ATTCTCTGCACTGTGCAAACATTAACCTTATGACTGTCATAGCAGCCCATGAGGTAGGAACAGTTACTAGCATCCCATTTTATATACAAGGAAGGGGAAACCGCGACACCTGGTTGCGTGACAGGTGTAAGTTTACAGTGCAGGCTCCTGGTGGACCCGGATGGAAGCTCAGGCAGTTTCTGTCCTGAATCCTGCTCCTGATGTGTTAGTGCTCCTGCCCAGTCAGTGCTCTCATGCCTCCGTCTTGGGTCGCAGGGGTCAAGGGGGACCCCTGGGAGGTGTCCACTGGGGTGCCTTCTCCAGCTGTGGCAGCACCTGGGCTCTGCACCTGTGGGAATGCCTGGGCCTCTGTAGAGACCAGAAAGGAAGGAAGGTATTGCGGTGGGAGGCAGGACCAAAGGCCGACCTGGGAGACTCGGGCCACAGTGGGCTCTGTCCTGACAGTGGGGACAGGATCGACAGCGATGCGGCTTTCTGGGCAGATTTGCTTTCTTGTGGGACTCTGGGACTTAGAATGAGTCTAAACCCTTTGGAAATAACTAATGTTTCTTTTAAAGATATGTTAAAATGCAAAGTTTAGAATTTTCACTCACTTAGGCCATTCTTTCTCCCAGTTAGGTAAAATTATTATTTTTAATATAGAGATTTATCAGAGTCAAAAACAAAACAGAACTGTGTGTGGCCACATGAATGTGTGACTGTTCCTTATTCTTTGCTTGTTGCTATTATTCTATCTTGGGGACACCCCCACCCCCACAACACCTTGGAGATTGATGTAAACAGAGACAGGTGTCTGATGTAAAGGAGTCAGAGCGCTTGTTCAAGTCGCAGGTCAGTGCCACTCACACAGGTAGCTGTGTTGTTGCAGCTGATGGGTTTGTCTGTCTCTCGTCTTGCATATCACCTGAAATTTCATTGGCGCTGTTTTGCATATCACGAGGGTGCTGCCGCAACTGGCCTGCAGGCTTTCGCAGTGAAACCCTGCAATTGTTTTTTGCTAGATGTTGCCCTTGCACGACAGGATTAGAAATAGCAGTGCTAACACAGCTGTGGTTTATTGAGGTCCTTCACCTGCCCCTCATGCAACGTGTGTTTGCCTTGTTCTGTTTCATCTTCACAAAACTCCCAGGGAGAGTTGCTTTCCTCACATTGCAATGGAGAAAACTGCCACTCAGAATGTCCTCAGTGTTCTCAGTCACACAGGTCCTGGAGGACAGAGCCATGACCAGATGCACCTTTGCCCACTCTCTGCACGCGTCTGTGAACTGCTCTGGGACACACAGCCTGTGCAGACCTGCCCTTGGTCTCTGCTTTAGACATGGACGTGGACAGGGTGGGGGTCAGGCTGCCCTGTGCCATGACTCTGGGTGTCGCTTGCCTTTACGTCTCTCTGCATTCATGGTGGCGCATTTTATTTACTTTAATAGGTCAGTCAGATAATTTTTCGTGATTCTCAAGTTAAAATAATTCTGCAGTGATAAAACCTATGGAACTGAAGGAAGAGGTTTTTGTTGTATTGATATTGTGTAGGAAAAAATATTTTAAAATGAGATAAAATACGAAGTTTTGTGCTGAAAAGTAGAAACCCGTGGCTGGGGTGTAGGTGTTATTACTTGCTGCTCTTTGACACCAAAACCAGTTTTAAGTGATGCTATTTCAGGCAATTACAGATACTTGGAAATCAATCATATTTAAGAAACGCTGTTTTTTATTATTTCAAGGTGTTCCTTCAGGTTGTCAGGCACTGCCAGATGGAGAGCCTCGGAGGCTGTGTCCTAGCCTGGCTGTGCCCTTACCCTCAGCACCGTCCATCGGCCTCCTGTTAGGCATCCCGTGGATGTCACTGGGCCTCCCTGTTGAACAGGCCCCAGACTGGCCGTCTCCTCAGAGTGGCCAGGTGTTTCCAGGCAAAAACTCGAGTGATTTCTTTGCCTCCCCATCTAATCCATGTGGAAGTTTGGTTGACTCTAATCACAAGTATATATGTAGAATTTGACTGATCTCTTCTCTCCTGCTAACCCTTGGTCTAAGCCACTGTCACCTTTGCCTGGATTATTGCAAGAGTCAGTCAGGTCACCCCTCTTTTCTCTCCTCTCCTTTCCCCTTTCCCTCTGTCCCTCTCCCTCTCTCTCTCATAGAGGAATCTATTAAAATGGGAGTCTGCCATGTCTCCCCTCTGCTCTGATGCTTTCGAGGCTTTCCTTCCCGCTCTGGGTATCAGCCCAGGCTGACCTGGCACAGAAGCCGTCCCTCTCACGGAGCCCGCTGGCCCTGCCCCTGCCTGCATCGCACCCTCCGGGAGTGGGCCCCGCCGGCCCTCCCGCGTGTGAAATTCTGATCTGCTGCAGACAGTTCACATCTCCTTCCTCTTGTTTTCTGCCTTCCACGCATCGCCATTTAGAGGCGCACGGTTTCCCTTTGTCCTTGTCTGTTTCCCTCCCCGGGCTTCACGTTTTCCGAGGCAGGGGCTTCGGGTTGTTTTCTCACTGGCCCTGCAGCTGCCGAGAGCTCTTCTGGCCTCGCGCAGATGCTGCGGAGAACATGAGCTGCCTCGTGCGCAGGTGCGGCGGGCCGAGGGCCGCCCCTTCCCGGTGGGGAGCTACGGGGGGAAGCTCCACGAGGGCCCGCTTGGCCCGATTTCCACCCCACCCACAGGAGCTGCCCGCGCTGGCACGTCGTGAGTGCTTAGTGCGCGTGGGACGCGGGGGGCGCGTGGGAAGGCAGGAGCAAGGCATCTCCACTCAGCTTTTCAGATTTGGGATCATTTTTGTATTACTTCTGGTGGTACCTAGATTATAAATTCTCCAAAATAATGAGCATGTTAGAAACGTTGAAGCAGCACCGTGAGGGTGGCCGTGGAGGGTGGGCCACTCGGTCGTCGCGACATGCTGGTGGCGTGATGTCCAAAGAGGCCGGCGGGGTTGTTTCTCTCAGTCATGCTCGGCTTATGATTTTTAACTGAGAAGATATGGAGACTTTTGCATTACTCATGCTTTCTGTGGACCGAACGTAAAGAATTTATACTTGCTTTAAATCAGATTTTGTGAATAAATCTTTTGCATTTGAGTATACTTCAGTGTGTTTTAGAATTATAAAGTTTTTCCATAGCAATAAAAATGGTTATCCCTCCACACATACAGCGTTGTAGATGCTCAGCAGACCATGTGAGCCTGCTGCCTCAGGTGGGAGCTGGCCTCCCTGTGTATTTTGTTCCCCTGTAAGGAGTAATATTTTCATTTCAGTTCTTAAAACTTAAACATTTTAATTAATAATTTTTTTCTTTTAAAAACTGCACTGCGTTTCCTAAGCTCAGGTCTCTTAAATTACACTCGCTCATGTAAATAAGCTGTGCTTTGCAACTTTGGGTTCTTAACCTTTGCTCTTTGCTATTAGCTTTATGTTTTTTTAATTATAGGAAAATAGAGGACAGTGGGGAAGTTACGACTTAAATGGACTGTTGTTATTACTGTATTCTTTCTTAAGGAAATGAAAAATGTTATTTATTTTGTCCAAATCAAGCAGAAACAAATACAGAATATTTTGTACTGTTATTTTTGCTAAGCCTTTAATATCATCACAGTTTGATTCTTATGTAATAATTATTTTTTCATTTTAATGATTGATGGTGGGATCAGTCATTTATAGCTGTAAAGGGTGCGTTGTTCATAGTTATCACATATTAAATGAAATAGAGTGAATGTTATTTTCAGTGCCTAGAGATGGATTGACTATTTGAATGATGAAGTCACAGTCACTTTAAAAATATAGGTATATTATTTTAGCCACAACACTGAGGTTCCGAAATATTGTATGAAAATAACTAAAATCAACGAACATGAGGAGAAAGAGGCTGTCCCAGCTTTAGAAGCCATCCCGGTCGTGGCCTTAAAAAGCCGTTCCAGTGGCCACGGCACTTCACCGCCTCACAGCGCCCGTCGTGCAGTCAGGTCCAGATGGATTCAGTGGTTAATGTTAAGAATCTTATAACATGCCAGTTTGATTTGTAGTCCTTCATATCATAGAATGCTAATTAAAATCATATTTTTGCATATGTCATGCCTTTCATGTACATATGCAAATAGATTCTGTTGCCTTTCAGCTACTAGTAATTAACTTTATGAAGGACACCTGTAATACATAATTAACAAAAATGTTTGCAAGCCTTTTACACGGAAAGTTAGAGTAAATTTATTTATTTATTTTTTTTGCTCATGAAGAGAACCATTTGAGTTTGATGCTTCTGAGGGAGATCTAAATTGTGTTAAACAATCACAGCGTCATTAAGTCCATGTTGTACCGTATTCAGTGGAAGAAGGGTGCTCCGTGGCCGGACTGCAGATTCCTGTCCATTCCATATTTATGTCAACACAGTCGAGTTAAGTGAGCTGATTTGTGTATGAAATAAGATAGCATGTCAGGGAATACTTTTTGTTTTAGTGATTAACATCTTCTTGGCACTTTAGCACTTTTTTTTTTTTGCCTGTGCTGCAAATACAGTAAACATTTATATAATTGTTAAAACCCTCTCTTCAAATTATTATCATGTTTTTAAGGCAACTTCATGAAAGCTATTCATTTTGTCTTTTACAGTCCCTTAAATGTTTAATAAAGTGACATTTTCTGGAATCGTCTCTTGATTGAAGCGTGGGATCAACCAGGGGGCAGTGAATGTTATTACATGGAGATACCGCTTCCTCCTGCCTAACTGACGGCGACGACAGTGACTAGAGAACTGAGATCACTGTTCTGGCCACGCTAGTTAGTAAACTCAAATAAGAACATGGATCGGGCAGTTTAAATGCAGTTGTTTTTTCTGGCTTCCAAGTATTGCAGTTCATTTAATCTGTATGCCAGCTTTTTGTTTATCCAAGAGTGCCATTGTAATGTGCATTGTTATGTTATATCCATATATTCATGCCTGTTTTTAAATACTTTTTGTACATAGTTCTAGCAGAGAGTCAAGTTTTAGTTCTTTAACTACTGTTATTTTTATTTTTTAGGGTTGCTTTTGTAATGAAGAAGCACTTAAATACTCATCTACTAGGCAAACATGGAGTTGGCACCCCTAAAGAAAGGTAATTTTCATTCATTTTGAAAACTTAAAAATATATTTTCATTTCAGAATTTGGTTAATAAGGTGACTTCTAGAATTTTTATCAAGTCAGTACACATGGTTTGCATTTGTGGTGCTCTGTTGTTGTATATCATGTTTTGTGCCATTCTCTCACAAAAATTTACTGTCATATTAACGTTTGAAAAGATTTGCGGGACTTTGAGTTTGCGATTTTGTAAAATGACCTTGAAACAGTAGAAGAGTTAAATTAGAGGGGATTGACCTCTGTCAATGCATTTAAATGAGCTAAAGTAAATATGTAAGACTATACTGTGTCTGTTTTCCCCTGTATTTTTATTTTGAGGTTTTAAAATAACATTTTTGAATTCTTACTGTGGAATTAAACATTGCTGATATTAAGAAATATATCTTTGTCATTCCCCAAATAATACGACAGTTGCCATGTCATGAAAAATAACACTACAATTATTATGTCGTCAGCTGCCAGGCTTTCTTTTTTCTTGCTACTGTATCATAATTAGCTTCATCACCTAGAGTTAATCACATTAGGTGAGCTGAAATACAGGCATGTCAGCCACCGGGCGAGCATGGCTACTTCTGAAATTTTCTAACACCGGCAGCTACTCAGACCCAGGGCAGGTACTCACCTTCCTTTGAAGACATCGCTTTTCAACTTTCCCCAAATCCTCCAAGATGGTGTTGGAAATTCTGGACACTCCCAGAAAGTTGTTTTAATACTCTTTTAAAATGTCAATAATCATGCAACTTAATGTGTCACTCTGTAGCCTCAGGCCTCTTCTGCCTTATTTTAAATGTTTAATTGCCTTTTTAAAAATTTAAAATGCTCCTAAAGTATTTTCTATGTTTACAAGAAATTTGACTTGACTTTTCGACTGGAGGCATATTGTTTTCTTTAGCATTTAGTTTGGACATGACTGCTGTGTCAAAATATTGGGGCATCCCATATGTCTGCTTTCTGCCTTCGGTTTCTTATACTTCTCTTCATAACATTATATTTAATTTGAGCCAAAATGTATGTGTTGAACACATCCTGAATGGATTATTCTTGAAATTAAAAAAAATTGTATATTATTTAAGTTATAATTTGCAACTTGTTATGTTTCATAAGTTCAAAGCTGTGTTTCGTTAGTGTTTAAGAAGGTAGAAACAAGACATTTCGTTGCTGGATTCTCGTTGCTTTCACACGCAGTGTCTCAGCTGTCCTGTGGCCTTGCTTGCAATGTATTCTTATTCTAGTTACAGATCTGAAGACTGGGATTCAGGAAGATACATTTTTAAAATTCAATATCTCATAATAAATGTTAGAATTATTTTTCTTACTCCAGTCTCAGCGCTTTTTCTTCTACTAATTATATTATCTCACATTGAGAATCTTTACATATAGGTACTTAGGGTGTTTTCTTCACAAATAAGTTTGAATGAAAACAATCTAGACTAGATAGTAACAAGGAAATATTTCTCTCCCATGTAACTAGTATACATTTGAACTCAAGTGTACCATTTATTATCTTATACATATACTTATCCTCCAGGCACCTTAAAAATAGTGGGTACCTTGTACATATTATGACAGGAGTTTGGAAACCCCAGATGTCCTGTCTGGTTTTCCCATTTACCTTTTCCTCTGCACTCCAGGATATCTCGTCTGCTCTCACCTGTTTTAGTCCCTAAAACAAAGGAAGTCCAGAAAGAGGCAAGAGAAAGATTGCATGTCTCTCTGCCCTCTGACACGTAGTCAGCTTTTTCAGCGTCATGGCACGATTTTTCTCCTAAAATCCGGAAATGAGCATCAAATGGGAAAGTGCCCCCCATCCTCTGGGTTGTTACCTTCTGAGTAGTCCAAGTTTATCTAAACATAGCATTTTTGATGGAATCATTTTTCCTCTTAAAAGCTCTGAGCTTCAGGGTGCTTCTTGTTTATGGTACCTGTTTATAGTACACTCCCTCTTATGCATGGAAATGCCAGGCCTGCAGCAGCAGTGTGAGCGTCCAGTGGATGTCCATAGCTGGAGAAGACTAAGGTTTAAGGACACAACCTAACACAGTAAATGCTACGGTCTCCTTCCTTCTAGCCTACCTTCCTCCATTCCTTCCAGGGGGAACTGATGCCTTTTACTGGTTGTAGGAAACAAAGAAACTCTTTATCAGCACGCTGAACCATCACCGTGGGCATAACTGTTCTCTAAATTAAGTTAAACATTTTTTTCTTACCTATTTAAAACATGAATGTCTTGGCAATAATTTTGCAAGCTTGCTATATTTTAATTTCTCCAGGACAGTATAATCAGTTTATTTTTTTATGTTTTGAATTTGATTCTCGCCTTTTATGCATTGCATATTATAGCAAATAGTAATAGAAGTTAGCTAAATAGGCTGTGACAATTAAATTAATAATGCATTTTGTTTTCAAGTATTTAGGCCTTGTGGTTTGACTGATATATGCAGAAATGATAATTTATTACAAATCAATTCATATGCTTACACTATCATTTGATGAACCAATAAATTTTGTCAGCATGACTGTGATTAGCAAAAGAAAACTAAATAATTTTAAATATATATATTTTTTTGATGCCATGAACTCATGAAGTGATGGCTTGTGTGAGAACAAACTTTCATGTTCCTTAATTTGCATGAATTTATTTCAAGGTCGTACATTGCTCTGTTTCTGAAATTTTATACACTTTAAATAAATATAGCCAAATTCACATTTTAAAATGATAAACTCCAATTAATTTGCAAGCTCCCTCTAAAGGACTCCCTGCTTTCAACCACTTGACCCTCTTTGCAGTGCAGTGAGCCAGGGTATCTGTGTGACTTTAAGTTCGTTAGCGGGGATCTAGGAGACGAGCTCTGCCACAGCCACCAGGTGGAAGCAGCCGTGATCACCTCTGTGTGACGGCCAGGCCCTGCCACCGTGGAGGGCGCTGGCCTTGGTGGTTCAGCCTGGATATCAGCGGGCTGAGTGACTGTGAGTAGGAGGAGGGGGGCGACCACTCGGGACCCCTGACCTCGCCCCTGCTTCTGTGGTGTCGGGACCCCGTCAGGAAACCCCGCAGTGCCAGCATCTCAGGCTCGGGGCTGCCATGCGTGCTGAGCCACATGGACCAGGAGAGGGTTTTAAAGGGATGCCTGCACCCGTCTAGGAGTTAAATGATCTCACAGTCAAAGGAAACACGCTTGTTTTTCCCCGTTGCTGATGCGTATCCACATCAAAACCTCGGTGGGTTTCCATGAAGCAGCTTCGGGAGCGGCGTGTGAGGGTTGTGTCCTGCTGTCCGCGTGGCTGTGGGGTGAGTGCAGGCCCGGGCGGCTTGGGCTGCTCGGTGTTTTTGTTGAGGGGTAGGCGTCTCCCCCGGCCTCCTTCAGGCGGCCCAGCCCTGACACTGGCACAGGCTGCTCCCCTTTATCAGACACTTGGGGTTGGGGGTTGGGACCTTTCTTTATTAGTACCTTTCATCTTACTGAGAAGTGAGATCTTTTTCCCACAGTCTCCCACGTACTAAACACCAGCTCGTCTGACTGTGGGACAGAAGCACTGAGAGTCTTTTGCCTTCGGTCTGGTCTCCTTTTCTCCAAACTTTTACACGTACGTGTAAAATTGTACGGAAGTATCACCATGGCTCCCCGTTGTTGGGCTTAGATGTAAGCCTCGCCCTTTTTCTCGAGCCCAGAACCGCCTGAGCCCGTCCTTCCTGGGAAGGCGTGTGTGCGTGCGCTCGGCTCTGTTGGGGCTTTGCTAGCGGCCTGTGGGTTGTCAGAAACTGGGCCGCTTTTAGGGGAGAGAACGCTTCGTATGGAACTGAATTCGGAAGAGACCGTGTTCACAGCATCGCCTCCACTCCTGTGATTGTCACTTTACCATCCGTTTCAAAGACATAACTTGCCTTTGGCTCAGTTATTACCGCATATATTTTTAAAAATTTTTTATTGAAGGATCAGTAGTTTTCCTCAGTGCTTGTTTTGTGTGAGTTTTGTGAGGTGGATACTGGTTTCTGTTTTACCATTGAAGCGAAGCTAGTTCTGGTGGATGCGTCGCGATAGGTCTGTCCCTCGTGTCCGTCGCTGTCTCCTGGCTCGTGTGCTGGTAACCTGCTGCTTACTGGTCTCCCGGTCACTTCTTCCCCGACTCTGACGGTTGGCAATCTTCTTTTTTCTTTTTCAAATTTAGGGTATTTCTAGGATATCCTCTGCTTTGAACAATATTTATATAAGCAGTAACTCCGTGGAGCCGGAATGGAGGACAGACCTACCAGCTCTTTTCATCGCTGTTGCTTATTCGAATGAGTGGAGATTGTTGTATTTTAATGACTTATTGCTGCTGCACAAGTGGAGGACCGCCTTTCTTCTGTGCTCTCCCTTCACCCATAGACGGCATCCAGTCCACACATTGGTACTGTGGTTCCTGGACCCTGCGTTATTGTGACAAAGTGGGACTGGAAGGCAGAGGGCTCTGCTCAGTGATTCACCCTCCTGTGCAGGGAAAGACAGGAGGAGGTCACATCTGTCAGCTAGCCAGGATTATCATCTTCAGAAATTTCCTTCTGTACTTTCTGACTTAAACTGATAATTTGTTAAGGTACATAGGAGATGAGTATATATTGTCTACCTAAGTCATCTTGTCAGCACGTGGGAAGTATTTCTAAATTAAATGGATAATTTAGACATTCTGTGGTTGCTTTATGACAAACGTTTTCTTCCCGAAGTTGCTATTTTCTCTTACAATATAGATTTTCCAGTGAACATTAATAAAATAAGTTTCAGTGGTGTAGAATGCTGGGACCTCAGCTCCTCGTTTGTTTTTTGTTGAAGCTTCCAGCTCACTTTTTGGGGAGGTGTTTGGACCTAGAACGGGTAATTCTCAGGGTTCATTCTCTGAGGGGACAGAAGCCCTCTTTCCACGCCCATCAGTCCATGGGCTCCTCAGCTTCCATGAAGACTGGCCACCCTATGTGGAGTATTTGGGTCCTGAGTGCTCCTCAGATGATTGACTGCAGCTGGATGCAGATCCTTTCTATTCACTTGTTCATGTGCACTCAGTTTTACTAGGGAGCTGCTTTCCTTCACAGGGCTGGTTTCGTTTTTTCCTCCAATAAAACTGACTTTACTGATTTTGTACTTAGTTTATACGATGACTTAAATTTAAGAAGTAACCTTATAAAACCTGTCTACTTATTGTAAAGGTGGTATCTTGTTTACGCCATCTCTAGTTGGTCTCGTCTTCCTTTATATTCCTGTGGAGTATGTACAGAAACTCCTCCAGCCACCCCTTCTGTCTCCTAACAGAGAACCCCAAGACTCCAACAGTACCGCGCCCATCAGAACCCTGTTCCCTATGCTAGTCGGTGAGCTGCGGAACAGACGTGTGTCCTAGCGCTCATGGTCCTTGTCACGAGGGCGTCTCCTCCTGTTGCCTTCTCGTGCCTGTGGAGACGCAGGTGAAGCTGGGTTTTGTGGAGAAGCAGTGAGCTCTTCCACTTCAGTGCGTGTGTTCCCGTGGCTCTGGCATGCGGTAACACATCGTGTTGAGTGTGAGAGTCGATTTTTCAGGGGATTGTTTTTTGCTACCATTTAGTCTGGTAATTCAATCAGATCTTAGATATAGGTGTGTTTGCTCTTTTAACAAAGTCAATGAGTAAGTGACCCCAGATAAGATGGATGGAATGTGTTAAATGCTCAGAGCCCAGGCGTCCCCCCGGCAGGCATCGAGAATATTTTTGGCTCTTCTCTTCTTTTACTTAAGTTACTTTCAGAACATGGGGCTCACACATCTGGACTCTGACTAAACTGTGCCTTAAGCTCTTGTCTTTAATTCCCCATCAGCGCCAGAATTAAAAAGAACAAAAGCCTGTATGTTCACTGCAGCCTTCAATTATGGTTAATTACCAACTTTATACAGCTTCATTACATGTCCTGACTTTGTGAGAAGTTCTTTATATTCATGATGTCTTGGTACTTGCTTATAAAAGTCCAAGATTAAAATTTTTCCTGAGGAATTTCCAGGAAACATAACCTTTCCGAAATAATTTCTGTAAAGTTGGATCAAAGCAATTTGACCATCCATTTTAACAGAAGAGAAACGCGATGTTTACATTTCATTACGCCACGGGGCTCTAATAGGAAAGGCCAAGGACTTACACAGGCTATTCTCTACGATGTTTTCCCTGCATTTTTTGGTCCTAGGGTCATTTGTGTAATCAATTGTGAGCTTAAAACAAAGGGCCAAACAATGTGGTATTGTCATCCTTGGCACCCAGAGGAGAGAACAGGCAGACAGTGAGGTTCCACAGGAGACGTGCGATCTTGTGTTAATCTCAAGACAAAATGACCATCCTACATGTCAGCTAATTCTTCACTCCTCTCTAAGGAATCATGACACTGATTGGTATTTACTAAGATATTAGCACCTCCTAAGGTTGAATCAGATGAAATCAACACGTAGGTTAAAAACTGCCAAATATTGGTAATTTCACATGAGTCGACCTGATTCTACTTAGAACTGTTTCTAGCATGTGATGTTAAAATGGAGATTTACTTTGCAGGGAAATGATCATTTCCATTGAGTTTAATGTAGTCCAGTTCTCTCTTGTGTTGTGACAGTGATTCCTGGACATAGCATTGCGTAGTGTGGTTTCTGTCTCGGCACCCCTTCCAGTGTTTCCTCTCGGTTCCTGCTGGAGGCCAGGCCACCAGTCTCGGAGGCTGGGGCGGTGTGTACTGTCTCTCAGCGCCCAGACTTTGCCTCACTTTTCCTGGGTTTCCAGTCTGAGTAGTCACTTAGCAGGAAGCCTGATGTACTCAGTTCTTGGCACATTCTGTTCTGTTTTCCTTTGAGAAGGTGTGTGCCCTGTCCCTACAGTGGATAATTTCTTCTCTGTCTCGGCTTTGCAGAGGGTGATCGGCACTCTGAATATTCATAGACTTAAGATACGTGACTCTACATTGGATCTCTTTTGGATGGGTGTTTCCCTAGCTGGTCTAATATGTGATTTGCGGTCGCATGTGAGAGAGGTCTTGCAGGTTAGCGAAGTTCTGTGACACTGTAATGTCCTTCTTACTGGAGTCCCCCTCCAGGGTGCTTTCGGCATCCACTTGTGCTCTCTCTCTCACCTGTGACGCTGGGCAGGATGCCTGCTCCTGTTTCTTAGGGTGATGGTGAAGGGGACAGGAAATCATAGTGATACGAATGCAGAAAATTATAGTATATGCACAGCATTTTATAATTAACAAAGTATTTGTTTTTAGATTAAAACAGTTTTCAGGTGCTATCTGTGTCCCTGTTTCATGCTAATCTGGTAGAGCAAAGAATTATGGGAAAAACAGCAGATTCAGTAGAACACATATATGAAAGTTTTATTTAAATTAGACCCAATTTTTCTTAGAAGATAATTATAAAACGATAATTTCCCCATTCATTTTCACAGTGCGCTGTGGTGTTCAGACTGTCTTTTTCTCATCTCATAGTTATAATTATGTAATATGGACATACCATATATTTTTGGCAACTAGAAAGTGGCAGACCTATTGCTGGACTTCAGGCTTTTTCAAATTTATGCCTTTGCCTTTTGAAAAATACATTGTTTATATGATAATCAGATTTTGAAGTTGAGGAAAAATTTTAACAAAGGAATTATCCAAATATTATTTATGCTATTAGTACTCATAACAGTATCACTGCATGAACATATTTCAAAGCTTCAGTGAATTTTTGAGATCCTTCTTTTGATTAAACAGAAAAAAAATACTTTCCTAGAACACAACCATGTACAACCAGTGAAAGCTTAAGTGCTCTAGAGGCCTGACTCTGGAGGAGGGCCCCAAGGACCACGCCAGAGGTGGTGCACCTTCTCCGCCTCTGGGCTCCTCCTCAGATCAAAGAAAAGTCTGCCCATGGAGCTCTTTTCCTCGTACAGTAAGCCACTGACTTGTGTGACTTACCATTCATAATATAGTGGATGCCTGAGTGAGGAGACATAATTAAATTTCTGTGGGAACTCTGGATTGAATCAGATCTGCTCAGAGGCCACTGAGTCAGGCTCTTAACTCACTTAGCTGATGATAGAGCCCAACCTTCGAGTCTCAGCACAGCTTTGTTTACTGTGCTCTGCTTGTCGAAATATCAATGCCTCTAACAAGTGATTAAAATCAAAACCATTTAATCAAACAGATCCAATGTTGGAGTTGATGAAAATAGAGAATGAAAAAAAATCAGAGAATGTAGTCATCCTTAGCTGGAAATATAAAAGTTGGGCTAAATCAAAACCTGGAATGGAATGTTCAAGCTCTCAGGCCTGGTGGTAAATTCACAGACATTCGTTGTATTATTGAGTAGACCAATAAAATAAGATGACGGTTTCTCACCAACAATAACCAAAGATGATTTTTTACCCAGTTCTGTGCCTGGAGGTCTATGGAGTAAGACCATGATTTCCCATATTTAAATGGCCCACATTATGCGCTCGATGTGAAACAAAGGGAAGGTGGTGTGTAATGCTCTGACTCTGTTGAGTGAAGGAGAACACTGCCCTGCAAGCTGAAGAGATGGTGATCCACGAAGGGAAAACATCTGAGTGCAACAAAAATGTCGCATGTTAGAAAATCATTAATCTTTAAAAAGTCACCTGAGATAACAGTGGTGAACTGTTAGCTCATGTGGCCATTTAACTCATTTTAATTTTGAGAAAAGTTTGATTTGGAAATTTTAAGAAATGTTTTTCTTTGCATAACGTGAAGTTGGTGGTAGAGGGACCCTCAGCTGTCCACGTGGTACAGAAACATTTCTTCAGAGTGAGGAAATCCTTAGGGATTAGGGTTATGATGCCAACATGTGCTCCTCTCGGGTGGAGAAGATGCCTCTACAGACAGAGGTGTCCTAGCAAGGGACACACCCACCAGGGCTCTGGGCATCCGATGACTGACGTCACCTCTTACGAGTCCTGATCAGCCTCTGCTGGTGTCTGAGGAGAGTCCGCCTGAGCTCCATCCTTGGAGACAGCGTTTAAGCGCAGGAGGACGGTTGTGACTTGCAGTCAGGGACTGCGCTCTGCTTTGGCGTTCCTTTCCTCGTGGTTTCGCCCGCCGGGACGGTCTGCCTTTCCTGCTTAGTCCCATGCCAAGGCCCCCGGCGCGCTCGCTGCTTGCTGCTGCCGAGTGTGTGGCGTGGCTGTCCTCACGTGCTCCAGCAGGCGCAGCGGCCACTGTTGTGGGCATTGTGGAGACTTA